AAATATTCAGTGGACAAAGTTTGAACAAAAATCTATTGTCACTTTTATTTCAGAGGAATTACCTTAAAGGTATGACAAGCACCCTCATCATTTTTATATGGGCCACCACCACCACTACCACCATTAACACTGGCTACTACCAGTGCAGCCACCACTATCAGCACAATTCAGTTGTTTCTCTGCACCACCACCAACACTGGCCATCACTACCTTCACAATTCCATTGTTTCCCTCCATGACTACTGCAACCATCAGTATCATTACAGTTCTGTTATTTCGTTCCACTACCACTAATACCGGGGGCGGATCTAGGGGAAGGGTGCAGTGGGTTTGCACCCCCTGCACCATTTTTCTTTTAAAATTTGTTTACCTCACCAGTCAGTTATGCCATTCTTTAGTGGTGCNTAAGGGGAGGGTGCAGGGGGTGTGCAACCTCCTTGAGATGAAGCCTTCTTCTTCGTATTTGCTTTTAAAATTTGTTCACCTCACTAGTCAGTTATGCCACTCCTTAGTGGTCCACCCCCTAAATCCTGGATCCGCCCCTGAATACTGGCCACCGCCACAGCTGTTGTTCCCCTTCACCACCACTTCCACAAAGAAGTTTGTAAGTACCTCTCTCTCTTGTCAGCCTTGGGAGAGTATAGGGCTTTCAGCTTGATTCTAAATTTGAGACCTAACAAAGGTTTTCACACTTTTGGTTTTTAACCTGGTAACTCTACTACTTAGAATTCATATATAGCTCTACATGAGAGCTCTATTGCTGTTCAGTCTTAAGGGTCTAGCCATGCGTTCTAGCTCGTTCAGTAGCCAGGGATTTCATCATAATACTTTATATGGCTACCATAGAAGTCTAACAGGGACATGTGTTCCTAGCCAGACTTCCTCTGCATTTCCCTACTTTGGAGTGTTGCCAAGGGTGCATGAAAAGAGACCACTGAACGATGGAGGACTCTGTGCTCCTTAAAATCAATAGATAATAATGCACACGTTTTTTGTGTATATTTGTTTCAAAATTTGGGATCAGATAGTGGCTACTCTCTTTGTTTTAACTCAATTTAAAGCAGAGATATTGCTCAAGCATGATATGATTTAGACTGTTTTGGCAACTTTTTAACCTTCATCTTGTTTGGCAGCATTGCACATTTGTTGCAAATTACCACTTAATTTTTTTTTAAAAGAATTACATGGAGTCAATGTAAAAGCAGATAAACTAGTAAGCCCTTTGAATGACCATAACATAATGTTAAATGCATTATACAGATCTATTAAAATTATTTAAATATGTCATAAATGGTTACCATAAGCTTGTTAGCCAGGGATTTTATCATGATACTTTATATTTTTTAATATGTTGAGAATTTGCTGACATCTTTAGTGTGACTATTCCAACCAAGTGAAAATAAACCATGGATGTAAACAATGTGATTCCATCAAATTATTGTTCTAAGGAATGTACTCACTACAGAAACGAACATGTTGTGACATCCACTAGATCGTTTTAACACTCAAGCTCTGTTGATCAATCTGCATTGCTTGGGTGGCCTTGGTTGGAGTTTTCACACTATAAGTTTGCCATTTGAAAGGTTTTACAGTTTAACATAGTTGTTGTTTCAGTTATGACTGTAAAAGACTTACTGCTATTTCACATTATATGGAACATTTTCCAACAGTTAATTTATTGTAGTAGAATTAGCTTCCAAAATAATTAATATTGGCAGTTACCTGCAAATTGGAAACTGTGTATTGCTTATTTGACCACATTTCTTGTAATTCTAATAATTCAGGAACTGCAAGAATAGTGCAGAAATAAAAATATCTTAAGCTTACATGTATTTTAGTATTTTCATTTTCTATTAATGCCCTCTCACTGGTGAAAATCCTTACAGGAATCTTTTGGAGGATATAACATCATCTTTAAAGATCTTTCAAGGATTCTTGAAAGATCTTTGCAAGCTCTGGAAAGATTGTCAAATAAAAAGTATATTGTAAAGATCTTCAAAGAGCTTTGAAGCTTCTGGATCTTGCCAAACATTTGGAAGGATCTTGAAGGTCCTCAAGATCCTTAACTTGAATATCTCCACTAGACCATGAGAGAGATTTTGCAATATTGATCTGAGGTTGCACTTGGGCAGTGCAGTAATGAGAGTAACACAGGTAGTTTTTCCAATTTGTTGATTATCACACCTGTCATCTTTAGAAAACAAACTTCAAACCACCCTGCTAAGATATTTTGGTCAAACCAGCTTTTACCTAGTTTAGATGCAGAGTGTGAATAGTATGAGCAACCAATTTTCAAGGTAAACTACTTTCAAATTTAACTAGTTGGTGAGAACGGGGTAAAAAGTCTGTATGCCACATCATCATAAATGAAACTAGGCAGGTCAAAAGGAGATGGCTATGTACAACCTTACAACGGTCTCCTACAGTGGAAATATTGCTTGTATTTGTAATTGACTTGGCACATTATTCATACTCTATTGAGTAATAAAGGTAGTCACTATCAGGCCAATAACTCCTATTGAGTGACGATGGATAATTCTGCTTAGTTTCATTTGTGACAATGTGGTCTACAGACTTTTTACCCCATTCACACCAACAAGTTATTATTTCAGCTACTTTTTTCGGTCCAAACAACACTGCACTCATTTTCGTCTGAAAATCTCATTAATCCAACCACCCTATTAGGGGAACTAATGACCATCTTTTGAAGACCACAGTTGGTCCGTCTTACAACCAGTCAAAATGCCTGGTGAGAATACTGATGAAAAACAGACACAAACTGACAATCAATAACACAGCGAGTGTCGGAAAAATTGTTAGGGATTAGCGTGTTCGATTGATATGGCATTCAGCAAATTGCAGTGTTCAACAGGAACAGCATGGCAGCGTAACATTGACCCTACCCCATAAATATGACCACCCCAGCAACATGACCAAATTTCCATGGCCTAACAGTGGTGGTATTAACAAGGTCCCATTGCATTTTATTCATCCTTTGTATTGTATTTTTACTCATTTTATAGGCTTGCCATAACACTGGCACAAAGATATAGCCATACGACTCACTATATGGACCTTAGGCTAGTTAATGACAGTTTGCCACAATTGTGATGGCTGATTATTATTGGCATCTTTATCAAGATATTTGCATTGTGTGGATAGCAATGTTTCATGCTAGCTGCACATTCTGTTTGCAACTTTCTTTGCTGGTCTCTACAATCAACCCATATTCATGACCAGCAGAATGAAAAAGGCGAGTGTCTATACCACTTTATCAGTCTAAGCAAGTCTACTGTATACCTGAATCTAGATGCTCTGCAGAATAATATTACATATTAGAAAACAGCCCTGAGAAAATATGTGCACTGATTGGTTAAAAAACGTGTTTCTATAGCTCAATAGAAACAGAACTAGCATGGGCTGTTGACGTAATGATGGCGCAAGCAAAGAGAATTTACATTTTGATGATCAAAGTAAACAAGTTGTTTCCCTTTTTTTTTCGTCACAGTGTTTTCTAAAAGAAATAAAAAACATGTTCTCCGTGTTTCTATCGAGTTATAGAAACACTCGTGAAAGTTTGGGAGAACTCAAAAACAGCATTTCTCATTCTTCCAAACTCCCACTCGTGTTTCTATAACTCGATAGAAACACAGTACATGTTTTCTATTTCTTAAATAATATTGAAAATAATATTTGGTAAATGAATAAGTTACATACATACGTACATAAACTTAAATTAAGTGTTAAGAAGTATTTAGCTCTAAGCTAAGAGCTATTTGGGGACACTTATTAAAAGCTAACAATTGAACAATATTTATTAGTTGAGCTAATAAATAGGAAATTTGATTCAATTATATTCAAAGACAATTTAATATGCTTTCAACTGATTGTTATCTCACAGCAGAGAAAGTGGAAGATTTACTAAATATACAAATATAAAACATGATAAGGGCAGGGGACATATTATTAACGTATTTCCTGCTAAACATTCAGAGGGGACGGGGTAAGGCAAGTCAAGATTTGAAGTTACCGGTAGTACAGGGCATTTTTGACCAAACATGAATTGATCCATTTTAATAAATTAGTTTACTATGCCAAGATTGAAATACAACAAACCAGGGAATTTGATTGTGGGGCGTCTGACCTCAATGTCCAGTTCATGTTAAGCACGGAATAAGTAAATATTTGAATGGCCCCTAACGCCAAGTTTTCCCAGACTGATAAATTATCTCTTCATGAGCTTTGGAGGGTAAGTGGGGATAAGATGTTAAGAAGAAAATTAGACATCCCCTCGGGAAATGCACATTTGCAGAGGGAAGGGAAGCAGTTGGTTAAATAGGAATTGAACCAAGACAGTCACAAGAAAAAATTACCTGTGAGACAGCCCTTATTATCTTGAGGTAACTGACGATGAGGCTTCTGAGTCAACTGAAGATTCTCCTCCAAAAACTCCAAAATTCCTATCTAAATCTAAGAGTAATCTGCTCCACTCAATTAGCTTCTTAATTATTTTTAATTGTCTTTCTTGTTTACTAATTTGTTCAGCAATTTTCTTATACTCCTCCTGGAGTTTCAAATGTGTTTCAATTTGTGCACTGCTCAGTCCAGCTGGGATGGTTATATTTTCCAGCCACAGAAGGTGTTCATTTTGTGTGTCATTTGATTCCATTTCAACATCATCACCGCTCGTAATTTTGTTATCTTCCAGAGCATCTAGTAACTGATCTCCTGGGGTTCGCAGAAGCAGAGTAAAGAGTCTCGGGTTAAAAACGCCTTTTTCGTCATCTCTCTGGCTTACACCCGTGGGTCCACCTTGTAAGTCAGGGGCTTCCTCAAACGGGTCAGTGGGGGTTAATGCCCAGCTAGAAAGGGATACAGAGTCAGTTCCTCTCTTGGAAAGAACTTTAGTAAAGTGTTCTCTGTCGCGTTGGATCGTTTCAGTTTGGTTTAAACAAACTTCATCAAAACTTACAACTTTAGCCGTACAAGTAATTGATTCTGGCTTGGAGTTCCACTGATTGTAGGAAACGTAAGCAGAACTTCGTAACCAAACCCAGGACTGTCCTTTCGTGAGATGTCGATAGTAACAAGTGGTTACCTTACCAACACAAATTAAAAAGTTGTGGTACCGAGAAATATTAAAGACGTCTTCGGGGCCACAGTACTCGTAAACTGAAGTGCCCAAAATCTCAAAAGGCAGAAATCCAATAATAGAAGGCGCTCTATGATCGATGTAAATATATTTCCAATCCATGGTTAGGCGATAAGAAAATTCTTTGTCAGTACTGTCTGAGCTCGTTATTAACCTATTCGGTTGCGGGTGCGTGACATTTCCCACCAGAACAAAGCAGTTCAGGGTTTTCTCGCCAATTGATGGCCGAACAACGGCAGCATTACAGCGGATCATTTGGTAGGAATTTCGTGAAAAAAAACGTCCACACTTCATGCGAAATGGGAAAGTGCTACTGTTGGAGGAAACACCGGTTTTATCGCTTTTTGGGACAATAACGGCCAACTGTGACCAGACTCTCAAAGCTTCGTCTTCACTCAGGTGGCTGAACAAGCTCGTGCCAACTAGTTCATTGCAAAGATAGCCCAAGATTGACAAAACACTGTGTGAGGCATATAATATGGTGCCGTCATTTTCAATCACAATTGTAAATGAATCTAGTGCATCTGTTAAAATCAAGTTAAATTCAGGATCTGTCGTGAACGAAGGCTGCCAGTTCAACGCACCGCCGGTTCTACCGGCTCTTGGGACAGACTTCAGTTGTTGTGACTGATGATTTCGTAAATAGCTTATAGCAAGTTCTAGCACAGCTGTTTTCTCCAATTTCCGACCTTCTTCAGGTGAAACAATCCCCGCTAGCTCCTGCACGAGTATATTGAAGCGGTCTCTTCTCCGTTTCTCGCTCAAATTTCGATTGGAGCGTCTTGTTTCGTTCGGCTCAGATCTTCCAGCTCTCTGCGAGCCTTGCTCTTCGCCGTCTCTCCAGTTCATGTTCCTGTGGAAGGAGACTATTTCCGGTCACATTCAACATTTTCAGTGAGACCTATTTGAATTGCTTCATGTACTTTTATGCACGATGCACCTGAATGCATCCACGATTCAAACACATGAACACGTTGGTTTAGACGGGCCGCTGGGCTTATGGGAAGTCGTGCGAAAAACGTGACTTTTGGTGCACTGACCGGTTTTCTCGGCGGATCTCAGAAAGTTCTCGCCGTTTTCGTTTATGTGTAAAAAAATCAGCATTGAAAAAGCCATAGCAAAGTGCAAGTAAATTCTTTACTTCTAAGGAGGCCTAGCTAGTATTGTTGTGAAGAGCTCCCCTAATTTTAATTATCTGCATTTCGCGAGGGAACACGTGAGTAACCTAACACATTCTAAGTATGCTGTCACGTTGGAGGGAGGTTTACAACTTGTCAATATCAGCAGGAAAAATTTGTAAAAGAACAAAAGATAATTATTGTTACGAATACAACGTAATTAGACACGTGTCTGTCTATTTCAAGAACCACGTTTTGCGGTCGCGAAAGATGATACATACCAGTCGGTAAAAGATCGGAATCAATATTAAAATGCAAAGTGATGTGTTTCGCAATTATAGCAGCAGCCAAGTGAAGGCAGTTAAAAATATATATGTATCTACAAAAAAAAAAGAAAAGAAAAGAAAAAAACAAAAACAAAAACAAAAAACAGGACAAGATATAAACGGCATTAACTGAACTAAACAAGGGACAAAAGTCGGACTGAAACAAACAAAAAATTAACTGCTGCGAAAACGTGCCAAACATTTGTATTTGTTATAAAACCATAACAGAATTAGTAGATTACGTCAGAGAGGCTAGAGGTCGTTAACATAGATTATTAGCTGCTGCGAGATTCATGATCAAATGGTAATTGCAAGGTGCAATGAACACCAAGCCTACACATATTACCAGAAGTTCTCAAAGGGAAATTAAGTGCTGCCTCCGGTAGAAAGCTGTGAGTCAAGCGCTGTGAGCTCTGCCAGCTGCTAGTGAACGAAAGACCTTTTTCGGCATTCTGGCCGCGCGCCCAAGGGGTAAATTCCTCAGGAAGGTAATCCAGCTATAGTTTTTTTTAATCCTTCTCGGTCAACTCTCAAGCTATCTTTAGCCGCAAGTTGCCCAATTCTTCCGCGAATACACTTCTTTTCTTATATAAGAATATTGTTGTTGTTTTTTTTTTTCCGGACGAGGCTGAATATTTTTTATTTAAATTCTCCAGGAAGATAATCCATCTAAAGTATTTTAATCCCAGTGATCCGGGGTTCCAAGGAAGGATTGATAAATGCCACGACAATTGCCACGACCATTTTGTGTTTACAACAGGTGTTTTAGTTCCCAATCTTCCCGTGAGTTTCACATAATTGATTCCCGTGATACTCACAGGAAGATTGGGAACTAACACACCTGTCGTAAACATAAAATGGCCGTGACGCCGTGACATTTATTAATTCTTCCTTGGATCCCAGGATCACCGTTTACTGTTCATACATGTATGTGTGCCGAGAGTTGTTCAAAAGAGTACTTCTACAAACCTTTCAAGAGGAGTCTACGTGATTAATCGGCTTCGAGGAAAACAATCGTCAGTAATACAAAGAACATCGAAGTATGTGACCACCACGCTCGGCACAGATGAGGAACGTATAAATGTACCTTGTATACAAACCTACAGCTGGAAGGAAAAGCTGGCAGTTTGAATGCTACCTAGGTTTCAAGGATCGCTACAAAGGACCAAAAGTTTAATCTTGAAGCCAGTTAAGAGATGTGAATTTATTTGAGCACTTTACGAAGGCCAGTATGTTAGTTACTCAATGGAATATTTTCAAAATTTCCTGAACTTTAAGCGGTCGTTAGTTTTGAAACCTTGTGGGCAGACAAATTTTATTATTGTTTTAAATTAAGGGACATTTATACTGTCTATTCATGTAGTTCAGCAGTTTCAAACATGTGCCACATATTTTGAAACGTGCCTTCAAAGTATGGCCATTTTCGTGTTTGGTTCAAAAGTCGAGTTAACGGGGGGGAAATCTTCTTTTAACCGTTGAAAGAACAAGATTGAATTATAATTGCAACATGGCTAAACAAACTGCTATGATATATCTATAGTTGGAAAAAAGAATTGGGACTTTTGAGCGAATATTAATCTTTTTTTAGAGGGCCTTCAATATGTGCTATTTTTCCAGTTTCGGCAGGCACGCAACTTGTGTCGAGCGGACCAAACTTCAATTAATCCTAGAAAAATTCATTTAGAATTTTTAATCAAATAAAAACTCATTTTAGTGATTGACTAGGTAAGGGCTTTAAAATCCCAGCTTATGAGAAAAATCCAATATTCGAAGTAAAATCAGTGGTCGGTTTTTACAGAGACAGCCTTTTAAATTTTTCGGGAACTGAAGTTATGAAGTCTATGAAATAGTCACACTCAGGAAACTTTTGGCTGAGTACTTTAGTTTGAAAACAATGACTGAAACATTTCTTCAAGCAGGCTAGGGGTAATTCGACATACACGCGATATGCAATCAAAGTAGTTGCAAACCGTGAGTAAAGCCGAGTGAAAAGAGTCGTTACTGGAAATATGAATGTAACCCTTGCCCCAGTCCTAAAATCAGCGTGTGTGAAGATAGCGACTAGGTCTTTGCACAAATATCTGGGTATTTTGGGGAATATTTAGAGGTTGTCCGAGATATTTTAAAAAAATATTTAGACATTTAGAAAAATGTATAGCATAATTAAAGAAACAATACTGAGTTCTATACCAGAAACAATCGAGTTAAGCAATTTCCGACTTGAAAAATGTATTGCATTCATATCACTAAAAGCGCTAAAACAGCAGTTATTTTCGGAAATGGCGGATACGCGGATACGCGGATACTGGTAACAACAACACGCCTGGATCGTCCTCCCCGACTCCTACTACTTCAAGAAAATTTTGAAACTTGTGCCCTAAGGGTTTCAAAATCGGTGTATTTTTAAAACAATGATAAGATATATTTAGAGGGTTTTTCGAGATATTAAGAAACGTTTGAATTTAGATTTTTTTTTAGAAATTCCAGACGGATATTTAGGCTATTTTACGTTATATTTGTGGAAAGGCCGAGAATACCAGAACGGCAGCTAGCTGTCCGCGCACGTTTTTCCTACCGTGGGGAAAAGTACGCAGTACTCACGTGTGATCCCGCATGTATCTTCTATCTACCTTTAGAAAACAGCCCTAAGAAAATACGCGCGCTGATTGGTTAAAAATCGTACTTCTATTTGACAATTAGATTGTTCACCCTCGATTTCTATCACGCATGACAATCGAGAGCGAATGATCTAATTGTTTTAGTATAAATATACTAGTTGTTCAAGACTTTATCTAAATCACTCCTCACAGACACCTCGAAAAAGCAAACAATCTGCCATCATTTTGATAACAACCGCACACTGCTAGGCCTCTCACTATCTACAACAGAATAGATAGCTCGTGGCCAATCAGAAAACGCCATCTGTGATAGAACCCTAGTAGATTTATACTAAAACTCGATATAAACACGTACGGTGCATGTTTTCTATTTCTTAGACAAGAGTCTGTGAGCCTTTCAGTGGTAAACGACTTTCTGGGCCGTAGTACTAAATATGAAAAATAATAATAATAGTAATAATAATAATAATAATAATAATTATTATTATTATTATTATTATTATTATTA